TTATTATTAGTTATTAGTATCTTTGGTACTAATTATTAGTACTGTTTTGATTAACAACAGAGGGTGTGTCTGGCTACTATGCATTTGTGACAAATCGGGTTTATCTATCAATGCTTCCAGAGTTTACTGATACATGATCTTGAAACTACTATATGTTAGGCCATGTGTCCCCCTAGCATAACATTTTTTCTGCAATGAATGGACTTGAACCTATGTGGCTATCCATTTGAAGTTATCTTTTTAATGTAAATAAGTCATCAAAGTCAGTCATTCAAATAAAAGCCATGCATTATATTAATAATACTAAATAATAAAAACATTGTTGTTTCAACATAAACTGTGGTCAGGGTTCTGTAGTCCCTGCTACTAAATACTTTAATTAAAACATGTAGAGTCAACTTAACTGAACTTAAATAAGTTAGCTAGACATTACATTATATTAACAGCTGCTAAATTATTTCATTAAGAGCTGCCTGGCTCGATTTCCAGTAAAGTTTCATAATAAAGCAGTCACAAGCCCCACTGTCTGATCATTACAGTTTTTGCTGAACTAATAGCAGCCACCGTTACCATGGTTCCAACCACGATGCTGTGCTGATTTTAAGAAATATTATGGCTGAAATTGTATTGGCTGTGGATCTGCATCATGTTTTGCATTACTTCAACTTTAATCAGACAGAAATACCATGTGAGTCATTTTAATACACAATAGGTATAAAAACTGAACATTCAATACACTGGCTTTGTTATTATGCTATAGTAAAGGTTATACTAAGCACTGATGGACCTGAAAGACTTGTATTTAACCAAAACACTCTGTTTTAAACACTTAATGTGCACTATATATGTAAGTACAGTTAGAATTTTTTTCCTTTTTATATATATGTTTTGCATATCTTGCACAAACTACAAAATCATTTGAATCAATTTCATAATGCAGATTTCTTCAAAGTGCTACTCCCTAGTCTCTAAGTTACATTCAGAACAGAAGTTGTTAAGCAGTCTTCTTTTACAACCTACCATTTTTCTTGCAGATGTCTATCACAACTTTTCTGCTGTCGAGAGCTTATTTCCCCCCACAGCGATCATTAAAGTTTATATGATCTTATCTTTATCGGTAATGAACGGACAACAGAAGCACCCGCAGTGTAAAGGGCACGCTCAGGTAGCAGCTGCACACACGTTACTGCTTCCAGCCCTCTAAATATTTAAAGGTGTTGTAGGCGGCCAGCAATTGGAGCTTACTTCTGAAAATGACATTTCAGGTGACTGTGGTGCTTCTGATTTAATAAGTGGCCGTCATCCATACCCTAGAACAAAAGATACAGAGCAAAGTGTTCACTAATAACATCATCTCCATACAGTCCATTAGCAAAACTCTGACAAAGCCTGGAGCTGGAATGAAGTGTTTACATTTGTGTAGATGCAGAGGACACTGTATACTGTAAATTCACATAATTGTTCTCTTTATACTCATGTTTTGCTCAATTGCACAGAAGTGAGATATTTCATACTGCACACATTGTGCGTCTACTAATTTGCAAATCTATCACCTACCTAACATTTGGTTCAAAAGAAGATATTGTAGCTCAACAATGACTAGACTGATTGCCACAAAACTGTCTGTAGACATTTGTATTTTAAAGGTCCAGTGTGT